TCATCCATTATTTGATCGCGTTATCTGATCGTCCGTGTGAGAATAGTCCCGAGAAAGACTGTTGTTAGTAATGGTGACTGAATTTGTTAAGCTTCGACGTTCAGGTACCTGACGGGCTGTGTCAATTTAGATATGTGGTGGATGTACTGTGCTCTTGGTAAAGCGAGCAAAGTGATGGCCAATTTCTTTCTCCTCCGCATTTTTGTAGTAAGTCTTGTTTTGAGACCACGTCACCGATGACCACCACCAAACTGAGAAACAGACAAACAAATATCCGAGATTCTGCTTACGTGTGGATAATTCCCGCACAAAAATAACTCTTGCATGTCTGGCATGCCTATGTTTCCCGTTGTCGCGGCAATGTCTTTTCGAATGATTCGTTCAAACTAAACACTGTACTGTAGGTACTTGGTGACTTGGCGATTGTCCACAAAGACCTGTAATGTAATGTTTTCAAAATGATTCCTTAGTATAGTACTGTGCATCCTGTTCCCCACACATGTACTTATAAAGGGAAAGAAATAGCCGATTTCTTTTGAACAAGTACTTTATCTTCTTTTTCGTCGCCCGTAAATCTTTAAAAAAAAAGTCAACGTGAAGAAAGCCTTCAGTAAAAGCTTTTGTAGTCATCACTGTCAAACACAATAGAGTTTGCGAGATCACGAAGGCACCCTTCGTCGCGACCTGTATTTTACCGAGGAAGTACACGTTATTTTTTTTTCTCTTTGGTAAGACTCACCTTTCCGGCTTATCTTTCAGAATTAGTTTAAAGCTTCCTGTTCTTGCTAAAGTTAGCGTGAACCACCGCAGTTGATATACCCTTGCAAAGTGAACTTTCGCGCTTAAAGTAAGCTGGTTGTGTGATGCATATGTTCCTCAACGGGCTCGGTTTATTTCTCATTTCAAATCATGCAGAGAAGTATGGGATGAATTTCCAAGAAAACAAGTATTCTTGGATCAAAACGGATGGTTTTGCTCAACAGATTTGCATTAATCTGCAGAGAATCGGGTAAAATGACGCTGTGCGGATTTTTGTGTTAGAAAAGAAAGTCAACCACCATTAGGCTGATGATTCAGACAAGAACAAGAATAACTTGCGAGGACAGCTGACTACTTCAGGAGAATAAAATCCGATTCTTGACAGTTTAGGTCGGTTAGTCCCAGTTTTACAGGAAAAGCTGATAATCATCGGCATTCACTGTTAGTGTTTCAATATCATTAGTAACTCTGTTTATACAACTAAAATACGAAATTCATTGTAGGGCTATTCTAAAGCATTGTTCAATGATAGGCGATCTGCACAGCTGTTAATATGCCATGATTGACACATTCATCACTCATTGGTCAGGTCACTCAGTAATTGGCTGACCTGAACGATTTGCAATGGACTACTTACGACTAAAAGAAAAGTTTTACGAAATATATCTCATTAAATTTTGAAGATGGGTCGTCAACACGTAATCAAGATACGTTTATGATGATTACAAACTTATGCTGATTACGCTTTCACCCATGATTAAAATGAATGACAAATACATCACAGATATTTTGTTTAGCTGTAAGTAGTTCATCTTTGGTTGCTGTGGTACGTAATCTTTTCCGAACTTTAACGTTAGCCGTCGTGATAACTTAAAAGTTTCTGCGAGGGAACACAGCATCCTCTTTTCGAAGGTAAGAGCATGTTTCAGTTACGCCGGGAGGATTCACTTACCACAGTATCAAACAAACAGCGATCTTAAGAATACTGGTCATGTTCCGAGAATTTTGAAAACAAAGCTGATTATAGCGGAATATGGGTTGCCAACTTAGGTAACACTTGTTCATGTCTGTGACCTACCCCTTCTAAATAAATGCAGTGATAGTTTAAAAGTGACAACTATTTTTGGAAGTCTGAACCATGACTGGATCTTACATCGAACAAGACTTATCTGTCATTATCATTATAACAAACCCAATCCAAACCAACGCGAGCCACAGTTAAAAACAGGATTTTGTTCTTCTGTTTTTATTTTCAAATAAAAATATATTTTATCCATTTTTCTTTTTCATGACTCTCATTTAAATGTAATGTGTGCTACCCAGAATTTTTCGTTTCGCTTTCGTTCCATGAGGGTGTGTTCTCAAGCGCGTGTTACGAGTTAATCACTTCAAAGGAACTACACGAAAAACGAATGTGGTTATGTCAGTAGCAACTCGTACAAATGGTGTAAATAGTGCTGGACATGGTCGAACTGACAATCTGATTGACTAGTATGCAAGGGATTCCTTTCCTACGGAAACAAATAATCTGGCAAAAAAAACGTTTGTGTTTGTCAGTTATATATAAGAAATGACAACTAGCGAAACACTGAACGCAATTAATTAAAAGACCACTTCATCTAACACTTCCGAAAGTTGAGAACAATTTCCTTGCAGTTATCGATACAGTAAAGTTGAGAAGGGACAGACAATAATGCAACAGAGACTGGCTCCACTGCACAAATGAAACAAAGTGGGATGATTGCCGGGCTAGGTGTTAAGTCATATTTGATCATGTCCTGGATATATCAGCTGATATTTTCCTCGGAACTCTGACCTTCGTTGTTAGGGGTAATTTGATGATAATCTTAGTACTAAAAAACATTTCCATAACATCCATGACATGCCAAAAGCCTGAAATGTCAGAACATATCCTATTTGATTGGTACAGACACAGCGGTCAGTATGTGTGCGCATGGATTTGTTCACACCAGTTGAAGCTAATTTCACGCAAAGAAACAAAAAATACTGATATTTAAAATGTTGACCACAACCCCCATGGATACTTCCACTAAACCGCCCCCCTCCCAACCACCACCACCACGATAGCGGCAGAGTTTATTTCACTACTTCTGGTCACAAACATTATCATAAAACCAATTCAGAACTTAAATGTAGCCTTTCAAATTGTTCCCATTGTATTAATAGAGTCATGGAGCGTGGTAAAAACGGTGATGGCACACGCAACAGAAGTGAGCTAAATTCTAACTATGATTCAGATGAAGACATGAACGGGCCACACGACGAAATCACTACCAGAGATGTTGTACTCAGGCGACCACTGCACACATACCCGGCAACTTCAAGTGTTCGTAAGACAGCGTATACACATGGCCTTAACGCGCGTGTCCCGCGTCCAGGAGGCTTTAGAGTCAGACATGGATTCCTGGTAAGCCAAACAAGATCATTCTGAAAACTCCTGATCACCATGAAAAAAATTTGAAAAGAACTATTTTTAAAAAGGCCACATGTTTGTCAGTGTTTGTCATGGAAAACAGTGGGCTGCTCTGTGGTTTGAGGTTTGGACAGAGCGATCCGGTTCTTTCCGTCTTTTCAAAAACGCATGGTTTGTTTGTTTGTTTGTTTTCAGAAGTTTTGCTGTAGGAAAAAGCTTTAGATTTCAATCAAAGACCTGTAATGTAATGTTTTCAAAATGTCTCACTCATTCCAACGATAGGTCCGGAATGTGTACTCGATTACGCGAGTCATAATTACTAAAACAAGGAATGATCTAAAATGTTATATTACGCATATATATATAGAGGCAAGACCGATTCAACGTAGATAAGCACAGCTGTATAATGTAATAGCGGAATACTAAGTACCACCTTAATTCTATGTCAATTCCCACTGCACCTGAAGAAGGCTGGTTTGGCCAGCCGAAATATAGCGCTTCGTTTTAAAACTTATCTACGGTGTATCGGTCTTGCCTCTATATTTATATGGGTAATATAACATTTTGCCCTTTGCTAAAATCGAAATCCGAGCAGCCATAACCATTTTAAATTGCTTCAAATTGGGCTGCGTAGTGAGGGTACAACAAAGAAAACAAAACAGTTTAAAATGAGATACTATTATTCAGAGAAAAAAACTTAATTGACTGAGAACAGGAAACCGGGAAAAGAACAGTGATAATTTAAACGATGTGACAGCTGTGATAAACAGAACTTGCAAATCTTGTGAGATGCATGTAGCTTATAAATTCCCTAAAATTACCGCGGCTGATTGACTCGATCTATTTCGCGTGTGGTACTCGTAAGGATGCTGCAGACGA